TTTTTTTTATGTATAAATGATAATAGTAAAGGAAGAAACTTGTTAGGAAAACTGAAAAATGCATAGAGTAAAAATAAATCATCTATATGTTTAATATATTTTCTACATTATTTTCTTTGTTTTTTACAGCGTTTCTGCCGGCAGTGACGGTGCTGGTGCTTTTGGCTGCAGCAGGACATTCTGCAGTGGTGAATGATAATCTCCAGACCAAAGCACCGCCTCTGTCAAACTCATCTCTGACCACTCAGTTTAGCAACAGTGAGTGTTTTAAGTTTGAGTTTTGTGACGGTGTAGAAACACATGGCATTACAGTGCTTTATCCCTGACATATATGAAATCTACAGAGCCCCAAATGTCCCCAGTGACGTCACGATATATGCTTGTTAAGTTGTGGGCACAAGGTTTAAGGTCTTATAACTGAAGCTTATCTGCAGAAGACCGGTGTCAAATAATGCCGCCTGTTAATCAAGGAATTAATAATAAGAATGAATAATTAAAGTCTTATATTTCTGTTAAATTTTTGTTTATGTTGATTGTTTTATTCTCCCTCTCTGCAGGTAGCATGGAGTTGCCTCAAGTCCTACCTTTACACAAGCCATGTAGAAGCGAACATGCTTCTTATTGTGTAAACGGTGGCAAGTGCATGTATCCGCAAGACAGTGACAAACCTTCTTGCATGTAAGTTCTGCAGTATCAGACAGTATCCACAGTAGATTTAGTTAATAATGATCTGTATGAAATTCTTCTACGTGTTTGTTCATGTTCACTTTTGGAATGCGCTCACATATTTTCTCTGATCTGCAGCTGCGAACCCTCGTACAGCGGGCCACGCTGCATGTTTGTGGAACCAATTCGTGGTGTTACTTTGCTTGATGTAGAGCAAGTCATTGGCATTATTTTCGGGGTGTTCATACTCATCATATTTTTGGTGATCGCATTTTACTTCTTTGTCTACAAGAGGTGAGTATCCACAGGTTTTCGCGGTGTAATAAAGTATGCAGGAATAGTGGCAGTTCCATTTCTGATGTTGTTTTTGTGTTTCTGTTTTCAGGTGTACAGAATCGACGGTGCCAATAAAATATACACCTGCTAAGACCTCGGTGTGAACTCTGCAGCTCACATTTGCTCATGCACCACCATCTTCAACATTTCCCCTTTCAAGAAAAGACAAACCACAGCATTTCATAAGAGTGAATCATTTGCAAGTCTACAAAACAAATAATATGATGTATAAAAAGAAAAAAATTGCCTTTGACAACATTTAAATGGAAACACTTGACTGTTACAAGAGGTTATTAACAAGGAAAGAGCAAGCTCTATCAAATCTAACGTTATTTTTTTAACGATTGTTTTATTTTCATGTAAAGAATAAGAATGAAAATTTGTATATATTTATTGCAAAATTATGTTAAGTAAATTATTATAAATTATTATTTTCTTGTATTTAAAGTTTATTTTTTAATTAATTACAAAAGATATTTGTGTTATTTGAATTTCACTTTTTGCTACAGCCTTTTTACAATAAATATATTTTTGCTTTGATAATTGTGCGTGCCAAATATTTGACAGGAGATACTCCATTACCATTTTGATAAGGTAAAGAAGAATTTTTAAAACTGCGTAATTCCTGTTTGAGTTTCACTTATTAAGCTTTTGAAACGATAATGCTCACTGATCCCCAGACAAACTGTAAATGAGCCATTTATTAAGCCTAAAAAGGCTGCCCAAAGTCTAATTAAACAACAGGTTAACTTGTAACACGATGCTGTGAAAGGCTAAACATGCTTGAACGGCATATTTAGCCATGAAATATGATGATAAACCGGTCCCATTCTTAAACGGAGTAAATAAGCCCAAAGTACAGTAAAGGGTATAAGAAAAGTTCGGTAATTTTAATTAGCAGTGATTAAAGCTGAGATTAATATACGAGAACAGGAAAAAGGACATGAAGAATAAAACTATATTTGGACTGCATAGCTAATAAATGCTCAAACAGGCGACCTGGCCTGGACTTCTGCCAAATGAGTGTACCACCTAACTCCTTTACTCCAGATAATATATCTGCAATATATTTATAATGCAGCCTTCACATATGTATCCAGTTACCTATGCCATGTACGCTATATAATAGCCCTATCCCTGTCATGTTACAGAACAATTTTCCACTCACGCAAATAAGCTTTTATCAGTTTGGGCGTTTCATAGGGTGTCTTACTACTTTTCAAATGATGTGGGATTTAAATGGTTTGCTGACAGCTTTTTGTTTAGTTTATATTTTACTGTGTCCACACTTTTGTCGATAATGATACTTACAAACGCAGCAAGAGCCAGACTGCAGAAGAACAACATATTATAAGTGGGTTTTTTTCTGCTGCGATTTATCGATCTACATAAAAAATGAGATGTATCTATAAAAAGTCACTTTGATTGGGGCTTTTTTTTTATTGTGCTGTTACTAGCTTTAATCAGTTATCTGAAAATTTCTATTACAATCCGCCTTTTATTATCAACAATAAAAACTCCTGTTTTATGGAAACCGGTGAGGACAGACATTCTCGGGTCTGTCCTTTCATTGAAACCGCTGAGAGGTGAAATTATCTAAATTACATGAGTCTGACACCACACCCAAACCGCAGGAGTAAAAGCCCACTGGTTTCCTATTTTCAAAAGAAACGTCACCTGCACCTTTACCTGACAGTTATTACTCGTCCTGCTCGTCCTACCAGCGAACGATCGACTGAGATGGGGATCAGCAAACTGTCAGTGCTCCTGTCAATTATCGGTAAAGTGTGTGTGCTTTTCTTAATGTTGACGTCTTGAATATTATTTTTATTGTTTTATTATTATTATTATTTGAGTTTGACGCGTTGACAGTGAATGGCAGGTCTGTTCAGGTATGGATTGAATTTAAGTCATCTCAAGGAACCCGGAGCGATGATCCCCTTTAAATAGACGAAAAGCTCTTTCAAAGTTAAACTTAGCATCTACTGGAACGGAATGTTGAATTAAAAAAATAACTAAATGCAGTTACTAATGGTTGTAGCCACGGGAACACTGTTTAACAGCGTCAGTGAGTGACTCCATACTGCAAGATTTCATTAAGGCTGATGTGGGCGTGTACCCATTTGCAGTCTGACTTTATCTGTATGTATTTTTAATTTGTAGTAGGCTACAAGTAGAGTACTTGCACTTTAGCTGATGTAGTTTGATATAGAGGGTAGCTAATTTAGTTAAATAAAAATGCAAGTTTGTAAGCTGGTCACCTGTTATGTGCAAATCATGAGTTCTGTTGTTTTTACTTTGAAATTAATTTTAATACATCTGTTAAGTACCATGTACCAGTACAATATGCTGCTATCCTTCTGGGTTTGACTGATTCTGATGGTGTTATAGATGTTAATAGCAGATAGCAGTTGAAAATTGAACAGAGTAAGGTCTATTAAAAGATAATAAGGTGATACGATGTTAAGTTATATAAAATAACTTTCCATACTGATGATTACTTTCACTATTAAGACTTTAACTACAAAGTCCACATACTATTTCTACTGCATCTTTTATATCATCTTAGATATGTCTTGGTGTAAGATGCAGCTAATATGAATGATTTCTTTATTCATACTCAAAGCTTGAAAGCATAATCACCGCAATATAACATTAAATCTAGCATTTAAATCGTTTTAGTGTTGATCTTCAGATTTCCTTTGCTGCTAATATTTTGGCATTCTTACCAAACTGACTTTTAAACTGGTATTTGGCACTTGAGTCAAAAGCTGAGTTAACTCCAATTATAGTGTCTCTAAAACCCTTTTTTGGCACGCCCCAAATCAGCCAAAAATGTTTAAAAATTCAATAAAATTCACGTGATTTCCATTCCACTCAATTTTGGTCAGTTAATATCAGTAAAAAGGGATCCAGTGTGTATATGAAATCGTGGTAACTTAAATAATACGATCAAAACTCTTTTATTTCATTTGATTTACCTCAGTTTTTTTTTTCCCTGCATGGCTATGCATGCCACACATGCAGTGGCTTTATGTCCCACTGGTGGGGCCCACAGTTCAAAAACCACTGGACTAAAAGTAATTACAGAAACCATCCAAAGTTTTTCAGACAAATGATACTCTGTGGCATCTGTAGAGCCTAAGGGAGGCTGAAGGGTGTCGGCTATTAGGTCAGGCAAATGATTTATTATTTGAAAGTATGTCATTTTCCATTTCACATTCACTCTTTGCACAACAAAGTATTACAAACTTAGGAAGGAAACAATGTAGCAAATTCCAATTATACTCCTTTGTCCGATCCTTCACTTATTTTACTGATACTGAGATATAAAGAGTATATTTTTAATAATAAAACAAGTCAAGGTGTAGTTGTCTGTGACTAAAGTTAAATATTTTATATTGTGGTCTTAAATTTTTAAAATTTCAATAATAATTTAAAACTAAACACCAGCTAAGAAAGAGTCACATTTTTAGAAAAATACAATTATTTTCACCTCAATTAATGTCTTGAGGTAGGCTGGATGCTAGGAATGTGCAATTAGAGTGAGTCATTGGCTAATGATATAAATGATCTGATTAATAGTGATTAATTAGTAATACGGGAAAGCTACTTCATCACTTCCACTGTACTTTACACCAGTCAACCATGTCAGAAACACCCAACAACCACCCTGAGCTCTCTAACTGAAAACAGAGAAAAATACCTCTGCAGCCATAACAACAGACAGGAACAGAAACCCAAAAAGGGAGCGATTTTATGGCGAGTATTACCAGATTCATAACCAGTCCTAACTAGACACATCTTGCATTCTGTTTGATGTGTTTTTGCATCCTGTCTGCTGGAATGTGGGCGGCTGCTAGTGCTGTCCATTATAAAGTTGTGCAGGCTAGTACAGGTATTTGATCGAGGTAACACAAGCTATACCTTCTTGTTATCACCTAAAACTGACAGGCATTCTCACAGTTTCTTTTATTCCCCTGCATATTTACAGTTTCTGAATTTTTCTTTAATGCTGGTGCTATGTAAATAAACTCATTCATCCCTTTTCTTAACCGTCTTCCTAAATCAGGTTTCAGGGCTGGAGCCTTTGCCAGCTTTCACTGTGTGAGAGGCTGGGTACACCCTGCAGAGAATGCTAAGCAAAACCAACAAAAACATGAATCATTTTGGGTTGATGTGGAGTAATTAAAGGAACAGTCATTCCTACATATACTTTAAAAAAAATAAAATAAAACATATTGCTGACTGACTGTACATATCTTCTCTGCAAGTAAAAATAACATTTGCAGCTGTGAAAGTCTGTGTTTGCATGCAAAACTATATCATTCCCTGACAAACTGGATTAGGTTAAATATATAAGAACCTGGGCAGCACATTTTTAAAATGTCCATTTTCAAATGACTTTTTTGTTTGTTTTACCTTCTCAAGGCCTCGCAAACGCTTAAATAAAAACACCTGAAAGTTGTTACCCTGTACAGGGGGTGGCATGTTCACCTTAAAGGTGCACAAAAGGTTTTTGACCAGCTATTCTTAAGGTTGTTAGAAATTAGAAAATGCTATTGGTCAGCATTCTTTAGGAAAAAAACTCTTACAAAAGGGCTTGCATAGCTCATTGTTCATATCAGACTTATATCCCGTGTGAATAACGAGGATTTGTTTTTATCTGACAGGTGTCATGATGATCTGGCCGTATGTACTCACCCAGAGTGCATCACCCAGAGTGCCGTCTGCAGATGGTGCTTCTTTGCCTGCAGGTATTCAGCTCTACAGCTGCTGTGAAGACATTTTATCAGCCTTTTTATAGCATAGTAAATCAGAAGATTTCAAAATTAAAATGAAACACTGAGCACCTGGAGTTGAAACAAAGTGGGGGCTATGAGGATGAGGTGTTATACAATTAGTCAGCTATTATTTTTTTTTATTTTTAAATGTTTCCTTAAGTTAAAATAAGGTGAATATATCTGCATCATTGACTGGTAGCACAATAAAACCACACAGATAAATGTTACTTTCTTTACACTTCATAGATAAAATGATTGATTAATGGCATTAACTGTCAATATTAACTGACAGATGCAGCCCCAAAATACTACTTATTTCATTTAATGTACAATTATTAATAGAAAGGATATAATGTTAGATATAATAACCTTCAGAAGCCCTTTACATTAAAAATAAGACAATGAAGTAAATTATTTAGATAAAACAAATGGAGGATATTTAAATCTAGTAAACAAATAAGCCACAGCTCAGGTAAAAAGTAACATCCACAGTACTGTCTATGTACACCGATTCATGCAGGTCTTATTTTTAGGAAAAGTTTCCAACGGCTTGTTGTTTGTTTCAGGCCAGGGAGAAAAGCAACAGCATGTGGTTAAGTGGTCGATGCAGAACTGTGAAAGCGCATATGACAACTACTGTTTGAACAACGGCCAGTGCATACTGCTCGTGGACATCAATGAACACCACTGCAAGTACGATCGTGTGTGTGTGTGTGTGTGTGTGTGTGTGTGTGTATGTGCAAGGGCCATGACAAATAATGGAATACCACTCAAACCAAAATTTACACTAGGTGTTTCTCTCAGGGCCACTATTAAGTTTTCAATGAACACCACTGCAAGAAAGATCGTGTGTGTGTGTGTGTGTGTGTGTGTGTGTGTGTATGTGCAAGGGCCATGACAAATAATGGGAGGAATACCACTCAAACCAAAATTTACACACTAAAAAAAGATAGTACTCCATGAGATGTGTCCATCATTGCTATCAGTCAGCATATCAGTAGTTGGATGGGTGATTGAATGTTCAGGATGCATACTGTCATGTGGTGTAAAACCTAAAAGAACCAGGCCAAATCCAAACAAACAAATAACATAGTGATGGATAAATGGAGCGATAAGAAAGAGAGCCCAAGCGCTGAGACAGACAGTTCTTAAATGCTCCAGGGAGACTGACCAGGTGCTCTCAGTTACACGGATTAACCCCACCTACCAGGAACCTGCACACACACAGGGACAAACAGAAAAAGCAGCAGGCCATGGCAGAGGGCAGTCACATGTGGCTATGTGGGTGGGTAAGTGAATCTGTGCTACTTTGTCATCATGAGTAGTTATGCATGACTCGTCTGTTTGTGTTGCAGGTGTGAGACAGGCTTCATTGGTTCCAGGTGTGAGAAACTGGAACTTGTTTTGGGGCCAGAAGGTGAAAAGCAAATAATTATCATCATTTTCTTCATGATTCTGCTGATTATTGGATTGGCTGGAGCTCTGTACCTTTTCTGCAGATGGTAAGGCTTTGATATGTGAATGTATGTGACTATACGTGTGGTTACTTAGTAGGCCTCAAACTAAAGCAATGAGATTTCTTACAAAAACTGAACGCTGAGAACAAAGAGGAGCCCAGAGCAGAAAAGAAACAGACTTTTGGCTCATGTGGATTATTTTAACATAAGCTGACCTCATTTGAAGCCATGTTGAATATGAGCTTTGACTGTTGCAGCAGTACATATGAAAAAGAAAATAATAACATTTTGTCTCCATGGAATATGTCAAAAGTAGGCTGCACATTAAGCTGCTAAAAGTCTACCACTAAAACTCTGAGGGTATTAGTGACACTACAGCTAAACCTACAGATCTACATTTTACTTTAAATATTGAAGTTCATGAAATAAAATCTTGCCCTCAGCATCCTGCTCCATGCACACGCACCAAACCACAAAGAACGGCTATGACCGAAATCCCATTTCAAGTTCCTCAACCTTCATTGTCGGTTATATTAAAGCATGAAATGGTGAAATGCTACATCACCGAGACAGGATTTGTGTATTTTGAAATAAAATCAATATGTGTTATTTTTGTAGGTATGAGAAGAATAATTTTCGACGTCAGCTGAAGCGGCAGGGTTACAAAGGAGTCGAGATGGCTTAGAGCATTTCACGCTCTCTTGCAACATCCACTGCTGGAAAAGACAAATCAAGATTTCTCCCAGTTTTCTAAATGAAAATTTCAACATATCAAGAACATCCTGGCAGTTCAGTGGCTAGCTTAGTAAATTGTTCCTGCCTCCTTTACACTGTACGTCACGTGGCTTTATCAAGCAGGCAGATCACCACAAAGAGGTTATAATGGTCAGCTTTGTGTGCGGTGGGATTGTTTTCCAGCTGCACTGGTTCCAAAGTTGCGGCACCTGTTACACTCAGTTTGAAAAGATGAATAGTTAGGCACACAAAAACAGTTTCTGTGGGTGACTCCGCCCACACGATACTGAAAAATTAATGGAAAATAAACAATTGTGAAGCGGTAACTATAGTAACTTGTAACGCAACAAAAAAAAAAAAATGTTGCTCCGAATTTGCTGATAACTAGCAGAATTGATCATAATCAATATAATAATGTAGTTTCCTCACTTTGGGATTTCTGTTTTTTGCTAGAATGCAAGTCTAATTTTAGAATATGAAAGGCTTTTCTGTGGTTCAGTGAGGCTGTGTTATCTTTTGAATCAACCCACTCTCAGATCCTAAAATAGAACTGGTTAAAGATGCTTTGTTTGTCTTCCAGTCCTGTCTACTCTGACTTAACATCCTAAAAAACAGATTAGGACTGTTTACACTGTGGTTTGAACTTTGCCTTTAATTTATGCTTGTGCCTAGCTTTTAGCTTTTATTAGATATCATTTTTTTGTCTTGCACAAAATCAAAATGGCCACTGTTACTATTATGATGATGTGCCTAGCTTTTAGCTTTTATTAGATATCATTTTTTTGTCTTGCACAAAATCAAAATGGCCACTGTTACTATTATGATGATGTCACTTTAAATTGGCCAATGAGTGTAAAGTTTTGAGCTTTAACGCTTGAAACTTTGTGTAGTGTGGAGGTTTCCTCATTCTTATAAGTTCAGTTGGCAATGTTTATATACTCTACAACCTCTGTCTGTGTTTGAAGCTACAAAGTATTTATTTTTTTTACTTTTACTTGTTTTTTTTTTATTCTTGTATCTTTCAATGTCTTCACTCATTCTTCAGGTGATAAGGCTGCAGCGGTGAGGCTTCAAATTCTTCTCAAGCCTTCCTGCAGTCTTCACATTTTTCTTACATGTCATCAATATCTCTCTTTAATATATATATATTGATATGTATTTTTTTTTTTTTAATTTATTTAACTTTTTTTTTTCCAATTTTTTTGTCCTTTACATTTTATACACATGTAAGAATACTTCTTGCTGTACAGTTTGCAAAATAATCTTTCTTGGGCAGTGTTATCTGGACTTGTACCAGGGGAAACATTGCTGTGCTGATGGTGATGCTGGCTTTTGCACTGCTGCTTCCTTCTGCGGGTTTGCCACAGAAATGCTTTGCAAATGGAAACCAGGTGGTAAGAGCCTTGGTTCTTCTGATAAAACTCTGAGAACGCCATCTCCAAAAAGCTTTCCTTTGAGTTGTTCTTCATTTGAGTCTAATAAAAGACTGACAAATGACTACAAGTTACGTGTACTGTGTGCATCCAAACCATCCCTATTAAACCCAAATAAATATGCATGTCTGTGGTCATCATCTGACCTACCGAGTGCAGTGTCAGATGTCAAGTTAATCAGTAGCTTCATTTTACACTCAACCAGAGCCAATGATCCATTTTAACACCTCGCCTGGATCCGCTTTACATGTTCTGTATACCAATGAACAGCGACGATGACACGTAAACATTAACTCACCTGCAGCTGCTGCTCTGTTAAGACATACTTAAAAACACATTAGCATGCGCTTACACACGCGATGACCCACAAACACACCCACTCTGTGGTGGCCATTTTGTTCTAAACATAAAACCCGTGGATAAAGATATTCGAAATTCAGGAACTGCTGCTCTAATCCCTGCACTGTGCTATTACTTATTATTGCATAAGTAATAGTAGGCTACTCATGCAGTGAGTAATACAGTGGGGGAAGCCCCACTAAGCTGCATCTTCGTGTGTTCTTTAACAAACAAGTCTCATGTCTATCACGTATGCGTTTGTTTTGCTTCTCAAGTCAGGTTTGTGTTTTAGTTTCTGTTATATTTGTATTATTCGCTGTCATTTATTCTCAAAGAGTCGCTTTCTAGATGGAAATACAGACTATTAAGGCTCCAGATTGAAAGTCCACATACATCATTTAAGGGCACTCAGCGGAGAGACATAATTAAGGTGAAATTGATAGTTTTCAGGAAGATGCTGGAGTTGCTTTTGTGCCATTAATACTAATTGGTAAAGTTGCAAGAATTCATCTTCAAGGCAATAAATTTAAGAAGCAGATCTAAATAAACTGAGAACTGAATCAGCTACAAAAGGCACCATGTAGACAACAGTGTACATATACATTAAAAAACTTTAAGCTAATACTTCACATGGGAAATTATGCTTTTAACGGAAAAGTAGAGATTCAATATCAGCAGCTAGTAACATTGTAACAGTATTGTGAAGATGCACAAAGACATCTAATTGTATTTTTGTGTTCAAGTTTTCATCCTGCGTGCCTTTAGCTTGACAGCAGTGTGTTTACTGTGGGTGGCTGTTATGAGGTGCTTCTCTCCTGGCTTGTGTCAGACTTTCCACACATCCATATCTCATATCCTCAATGTCATTACACATATCCAAACAATTCCATTGCATGTTTATCCTCAACAAAACGTGCCAGGAGCTCCAAGTCATTGTTACGGAATGAGATGGAGTAGTTCCCTGCATTCCTAGCAGGTTTGCGTTTGATTCCACTAGTGTATGACTGATGGGACAACCTGTATCTGCAGACACAACAACATAAACAACACACCCTTGTGTGCAGCTTCCCCACCCAAGCCTTAAGGTCTCCTCTTAGTTACAGTGTACAGAAATAGTAACACTGAGTATAATTTGATAAAACACACACATAATAATTCAGACAGAACCACAACCCGCCGAACAAAACGAAACAACAATAAAACAGAGAACGCTCATTGTCATAGGCAAATAAATAAAAACAGGTAACAAGTAATACACACTTAAAAAGATTATATTAAAAAAGTATCTTATATCTCAGAAAATAAGACACATTCAGAGGTGTATTTTCTAGAAGCCAGCCACAATTCCCATTTCATGACCTATTTGCCCATATATGTTTATGAAACCACTTACCGAAACAAACACTCATAGATACTCTTTTTATGACCCCTTACTGCTCTCACTGTAATGTAGCATTTTTTTTATGTTATTTTTTATCTTTGTACCTTGACTAAAGTGTAGCTATGACTCGATTACAGAAAAAGGTGTGTATAGTTGCTGTCAGTTAAGAACCCAGTAACTTTACTTTTGTGGTTTGCTTATGATTTTGTCTATCTAAGATTAGTCAACACTTTGGCCATTCAATAAATGACACATGATGGCCTAGAAAGTTGTTTTCAAGTTAATGTTGAAAAGCTTTATAATATCCTGGTATGTGTCTCTATCACTACAGAAGGTATAACTAAGGCCATATAAAGGCAGCCCTGCGGAAGTAATAAAAGTTACCAAACAGGTGATAAAAAGCCAAGAGCTTGGTGACCCAGTGTCGCCCACAATTATTATTCCCACCAGAACGTGAGGTGCAAAATGTATTGCCTGGGGCAGATGAATTAGTAGACACACACGAATAAGCCACACACACACACACACAAGCACAATGTGTTTTTTACTCTCTCTCCTATGCTCTCTCTTTGCTCTCTCTTTGCCTCATGCACACACACTCACAAGTGCACACACACACCCATCTGTTTCCTTCAAGTTGAGAAGCAGGCGTTGGTCTATAAAAGCTGCACCCAGTGGAGGTGAAGAGAGCAAAGCACACTCTCGATCAGCGGGGGACAAAGACACACTTCGACACCTACTTACACACACGTTAGTGCAGGACTATCATACACAAAACACTTGCTTCCTGGGATATGAACCCTCTCATCCTCACCTGTTTCCTGTGCTTCGGTAAGTCTGAACTTGTACTTAAAAGTGTCTGTGTGTTTGTGTGTGCGCAGATAGTTTAAATGACTGAAATGAAAAGAGAAATGCAAGTGGCATGACAGAAAGGCATGGGTCAGGGGAGAAAACATGTATCCACAGGCGAGGACTTGTCAGAGAGGAGAGAGGTATTTGAGATTTTTTATTTTTATTTTTTGTCAGAGACGCTTCTAGAGACCAAACTATTACCAGACATTGTGCAGGAGACACACCAGACACACAGAAAGGTCATCATATTTTGAATACTTCATTATCCTTTCACTGAATCCTATTCATCACTGGTGCAATACAGTCCTCAATGTGGACTGGTTGTACTGGTTTAAGATTGTTCCCAGCAGAGGAAGGTGAAATAATGAGTCAGAGGTAAAGCTATATGAGCACAATTTCTAAAGAAAGTAACTCACACAAAGTTCATGGTAAGAAAAAAAAAAGGAAAGAATGAAAAAAAAAAATGACTGCCAAGACTGATTTCTAAAATAGTTTATCAGCATATCGGCAACTATTCACGTCTTTTTTCTATTTATAGCTCTGAAAGAGTGTTTTTCACAATCCAAGATGTTGATCTGGATCAAAAGAAGTAAACTTTGATTTGATGTGTATTTCTATGTAGATTTAATGTCTTATTCATTTTTGTTGGCTTTTTTTTTTGTAGTCTGCAGTGCTCTAAGTGCTCAGGGATCTACAACCACACAGTCAGGTGACCAAGTTGGAGTGACTGTCGACCTGGCCTCAGGGGAAGGCCTCCAGAATTTGCACAGCGATGATGATGAGTTGGAAGAGGACGGGATTTCAGGAGGAGATGATGAAAATGTCAGCTTCCATGGTACAAGGGAATCTTTTATCTGAGTATATAACTGTGTGATTTGTATATGTTTCTTTTAAGAAAGATGAGTATATAAAATTATATGAAAGTGAAGTTCTCTTGACTTTAACAGCTTCAATTGATTAAAAAAAATGTTTTCAGCCTTTAAGTCTAGGGAGTTAAAATGGCACCCTAAACAACTGCGGATGCTTCCTTTCCTCCTACAGACTTGCATCCCAACAGAGATGAGAAGAAGAAAAGGAAGGTCAAAGGCAAGAGGAGGAACAAACACAAGGGCAAAAGCACAACTCCTTTCAACCCCGAGCACATGGTCTTCACTAGTGGACACACATCCACTCTCAGGACCAATGAGGATCCCTGCAACACCTCCCACCTGGGCTACTGCATTCATGGATACTGCAAGCACATAGACGGCCTGCATGAACCAGTTTGTATGTAAGTACAGTCCTGGCCCCATTGTATTTTTGCATGAGAAAATATGAGCTCTATGGTTGATACAAGCATGTGGCCTTCACTGAATCATGTTTGGGATCATTTGCAATCATCAAAATGAATGATGTAGACACAAAACCCCCAAAACAATTATACTGTTAAAACCACTGCCTCACCTGAATGTGACTAATAGGCAGGTTCAGACAGATTCAAGTTATTGGAACAACTTGAAAAAAATAATTCAAACACTCATCAATATCTGATATAAAAGCCTCTTCATTGAGTCATCACACTGATTTCTTAACTCTTTTTTCTGCAGATGTATGAAGGGTTATGATGGAGAGCGCTGTGGGATCCAGACTCTGGGGACAGTGAAAAATGAGCCCACCGAGACCAACAATGCTGAGCTGGTGCAGACGGTCTTAGTGGTCATCGCCGTGGTTCTTTCAGTCATCAGTTGTACCGCCATACTGCTTAT